AATGTACCCAGTATTGGGGGAAACTGGCCTTAGCAACTGGCGTAATGTACCCAGTATTGGGGGAAACTGGCCTTAGCAACAGGGAGGGTATTTACCTAGTATATGGAGGAACTGGCCTTAGCAACAGGGGGGATAATGTACCCAGTATTGGGGGAAACTGGCCTTAGCAACAGGGGATAATGTACCCAGTATTGGGGGAAACTGGCCTTAGCAACAGGGGGGATAATGTACCCAGTATTGGGGGAAACTGGCCTTAGCAACAGGGGATTATGTACCCAGTATTGGGGGAAACTGGCCTTAGCAACAGGGGGGATAATGTACCCAGTATTGGGGGAAACTGGCCTTACCAACAGGGGAGATAATGTACCCAGTATTGGGGGAAACTGGCCTTAGCAACGGGGGTAATGTACCCAGTATTGGGGGAAACTGGCCTTACCAACAGGGGGTAATGAACCCAGTATTGGGGGAAACTGGCCTTAGCAACAGGGGGGATAATGTACCCAGTATTGGGGGAAACTGGCCTTAGCAACTGGGGTAATGTACCCAGTATTGGAGTATTGGGGGAAACTGGCCTTAGCAACAGGGGGTAATGTACCCACTATTGGGGGAAACTGGCCTTAGCAACAGGGGGGATAATGTACCCAGTATTGGGGGAAACTGGCCTTAGCAACGGGGGTAATGTACCCAGTATTGGGGGAAACTGGCCTTAGCAACAGGGAGTAAGGTACCCAGTATTGGGGGAAACTGGCCTTAGCAAAAGGGGGGATAATGTACCCAGTATTGGGGGAAATTGGCCTTAGCAACAGGGAGTAATGTACCCAGTATTGGGGGAAACTGGCCTTAGCAACTGGCGTAATGTACCCAGTATTGGGGGAAACTGGCCTTAGCAACAGGGAGGGTATTTACCTAGTATATGGAGGAACTGGCCTTAGCAACAGGGGGGATAATGTACCCAGTATTGGGGGAAACTGGCCTTAGCAACAGGGGATAATGTACCCAGTATTGGGGGAAACTGGCCTTAGCAACAGGGGGGATAATTTACCCAGTATTGGGGGAAATTGGCCTTACCAACAGGGGGGATAATGTACCCAGTATTGGGGGAAACTTGCCTTAGCAACGGGGGTGATGTACCCAGTATTGGGGGAACTGGCCTTAGCAACGGGGGTAATGTACCCAGTATTGGGGTAAACTGGCCTTAGCAACAGGGGGGATAATGTACCCAGTATTGGGGGAAACTGGCCTTAGCAACAGGGGATAATGTACCCAGTATTGGGGGAAACTGGCCTTAGCAACAGGGGGGATAATGTACCCAGTATTGGGGGAAATTGGCCTTACCAACAGGGGGGATAATGTACCCAGTATTGGGGGAAACTGGCCTTAGCAACGGCGGTGATGTACCCAGTATTGGGGGAAACTGGCCTTAGCAACGGGGGTAATGTACCCAGTATTGGGGGAAACTGGCCTTACCAACAGGAGGGATAATGTACCCAGTATTGGGGAAACTGGCCTTTCCAACAGGGGGGGTAATGTACCCAGTATTGGGGGAAACTGGCCTTA